TGTTATAAAAATTCTAAAATTGTACCAATTTTGTCTTTATATTTAAACAGTACTCTTACTCCCGGATGTAAATATTTATTGTTTATAATAAAAATATTATTATTATTATTATAAATTTATAAATCCGTAATAAATAATTGGAATATATAAATTAAACTAGTTTTGACTTATGTACATTTAAAGCTTAAAATATCTATGTGGATTTACTTATTATTATTAAAAAAAAATATATATATATATATATATATACTATAAACATCGTAAAGAAATCCCAACCAGTTTATGACCAGTTTATCATTTTAATTATCATTTAAATACTAATTTATAAGCATTTAACTAATGATTTTGGTTGGTTTTCTTATCGAACCTGCTAATATTCATTTATTCGCATTGATAGTAAGTCTCGAATGAATAATTATAAGAATTTAAAATTGAGAATCTAATAAATATCCAAGTAGACATAATTAAATCTGAGAAATAAGGTATTTTAATTTATAGTTGTGCATGTTGATTATTTTGAAACATTCGTTATACCTTTTCCTCGCTTATGGAGCGGTAGTTTCATTACAAATCACTTTATAATAATATATTATTAGTTAGAAATTTGGGTTTTTTTTAGATAATTAATAACCTGTGTAGTACATTAGAGTTTTGATCATTCGAAAAAAAAAAATTATAGCAAATTTCTGTACATTACAAAACTCAAAACCGAGATATTTTTTCCGATTTCTTGAATTTCGTATTTTATTACTATATTTCAATGTTTTTTTTAGTTAATTTCTGAGTTCGACGTAATTATGGTACTATAAATTTGAAAAAATGCAAATTATCTCACTTGTCTTAAAATTTTTTACTAATTAAAGTTAATGTTTTCAATTCGAAACTCTGCTTCATTTTAATTATCCGAAAAATTTTATATTCACGTTTTGAACTCATAAATAACTATTTAGACTTTATACGTTTTTACAAATATTAATGTTGTAAGGTTAGAGATCCCAGTATTGTATGACGTAGGGAATATTAAATTACTATTTTTATCCCTAACTATTCACCATTCCTGCACAATTATAACTTTAAATATGTAAAATTATTATTTAATGAACTCGTTCAAAATTTGACATGCACATATCACAGTTATTAATAAATATCCTTTAGTGCCATGATATTAAACTAAAAGAATAATCGACTTGATTCTAAATCGAAAAATTTACTGTACCTGTGTCATAATTTAGTTTAATCCTTAAATCATCTATTACTGTTTAATTTAATCATTCTGGTAGTAATAAAATATGGATAATAAGTAGCGTATATTATTTTAGACGAAATCTATAAAACAAAATAAAAATATATTTAAATATTTAATATCGTATGCATATTGCAGCTATTACAACATTATAATATGCTTATAAATTGGGCTACTAAATAGGTACACTATACAAAATAGAATGCGGATTGTAATTAAATATTGATAAAAAAAAAAAAAAAATCATATTACAACACCAATACGGTATTAATTCACAGAAAATAATATGTTCTTACGAGATTATGATTAGTTGTTCGCGATTAAAAATATGATAAAAATAAAAGAAAGAAAATTAAAACCTGCATCTGTCTATACTACTTTAGTTATCTACTCGTATAGTTTAACTATTAGTGTTCGCTGGGGGGGTCGCCATGATAAGTGCACGAACACATGTCCACGTAGCCGATGAATATACACAAACCGTTGGTATCGTTCACGGTATAATAACAATATCAAACGGCCACAATGCCCACTCAGTCCTCTTTTCCCGTGTCATCCCTCTGACGACAATGATGTGGTAACGCACGTAAGGAGTCTTGCGTTTCATCGTAACCGGAAACACATCGTTGTGACATCTCGTAGCAAACGCTGCTGTGAAAAGTTGCCTATCCATCATAATGCTACACCGTACACGTGTTCGGTCGCAACGTGACGGTGATGTAAAATAAGCTAAAATGTAAAAATAATCAGATATCGGACGAACGGGTAAACGTACATTATGCGTCTCCGCGTGGCACGCAGAAGATAGCTGTTCGACCGTGCACTAGAGCAAATCCGTATACGGTTACCGATCACTTTGTTAACGTGACGAGCAAATATATGTACATATATGTACATGTGATTTGTGTTGTTTATATATACTTAATATATGCACACATGATGATAGCACAACGTGTCAACGCAACCCGTTTACGGTAAAGTATACCGGAATAATAGGAGTGGAGAACGATACAATATTGATACAGTCGAGAGTGTTTTGATGGAAACGTGCGAACGCACGTTCAAATTTTCGGAGACATTCCTCTGCCCCTCTCTTTCTCTGGACCACCTCTTAAATCACATTGGCACGACACGGATTTCGGTCAGACCACATTTTTCGACGAACGAGTATTCCATCTGCGTTCTAACAACAAGTTGCGTGTTAATATCGTGTCGTCAGTGGGAAACCACCTGACGGAGGACACATAAAATATAAAATGTACATTCAAACAGACCAAACAATCATTGTTCCTGTTTTTCAATGACGGGATGCGATTTAAACCACCTGTATCGGTAAATTGTAATAGAACGACATTTAAGCAGTGTATTCGTCAGTGGTACCCAAATCATATGGGACATTTTTCTCGATTTGGCAATTGTTCGAGTTTTAAATTCAATATTGCACAGAGTGTTTACAATCGTGGATTTGCTTAAATAAAAATCTATTAAGACTATTTCAAAGCAACGTTTTGCTCGCTAAGTGTTTAGCTCCTTATTATGTGTCTATGCTTTGTAATTTTCATAGAAATTACAATAAAATATTAAAAATCAGTTTTCGATTAAACACAACTTTCATCATGTAGTAAAACACATTTTAAGTGTACAATATTAACTCAACGAATAGTAGCATGAACTATTTTAAACTCTTTCACAGCCCAAAAAAAATAAAAACGATTTCTTAAAATAAAATAGCAATAAAAAAAAATGTATCTTATTTATAGCTGTTCTTGTCACTCTAATATGATAATCGGCCTCAACTATCCAGATATACTAGTAATTAATATATATGTAGTCATATGTTATACGACCTGAAATTTAGAAGACTGTCTATAATTATAATATGCATACGCATACAGCATCTCACTCAGAAAGGCTGTTTTTATAGCTTATATCTCAATAAGGTCATGTTGTTTAATTTAAATCATGTGGTAAGGTCTTTATTATAATTAGATGAATATACATGGTGTGATTAAATATAATGAAGTATGTAGATCTCAATAGATATAATAACACTAATAATTTTCAATTCGTAGGTAAAATCCTCCACCTTAAAACATTTTCATCAATCATTAATTAATTATAATAATCCTTTGGCCCTCTACTTTGTACTTATTCTGAAGTTTGCTATTAGTTTAAATTAATCAAACGCCATTAACTACATTTAATATTGCTTGAAGTGCATTTTTTTAATAGCATGTACAATAATGCAGTTTGCATAATAATACGCATATTATATTTATAAAAAAAAAGAAACACAATCAGTTATAGACCGAGTTACAGTTTTAGTCCAAAAAATTTATATCTACAGCACAAAAATAATGTTTAAATTATAAAAAACAAAATATTGGTCATAACAAAATAAACTATATTTTCTTAGTCAAATAATTTGAATTTAAAAATTAAATTTAGATATATAATTTTGCGTATTGTTTCAAACAATATTTCAATATGAAAGCTGTTTATGAATGTACTATTGATATGTATTATTAGTGTAAGCCTCTACACTCTTATCTGTAATTTTAAATTTTAGTATGATTTAAATTTATCTATTAATTTCATTAATTATTCGTATTGCTCTATATAGTTACAGATTGATAAATTTATTGTAACTAATTGATTAAAACAATTTTTAAAAACACAAAAATAACAAATTGTTTTCTTTTTTATTATTTTTATTTTTTTTAACTTTTATTTTTTTATATATTTAGAATTTTCCTGACATTCATCATCTAAACTTAGGTGTAAAGAATTAAACTTTTTGACATCTTGTAAATTGGATCAATATATGGTATAAGTAGTTAGAACTATAGATTTAAAATGTACGGAAGAATAACAATTTTTACATTACGAATCAATTAGCAGTTAAAATAATATACAAAACAAACATACATAATATATAATAGTAGTTATTAGGGACTTAAGACGTCATGAGGACCTTTTTTATTATCAAATCTCTGAAGACTGAACCATAGAAAAGTTTAGTATTGAAATCGATATCCCATGGTGAATAATTAAATTATATCATTGAATAATGACTCTAGAAAAATATGTTTTATAATCAAAATAATGTACTCTTGAGATTCATCGAGATAAAATTACATTAGGATAATAAAATATCTGCAAATATAATATTTCAAGTATCGAACTGAAGCTTTATTTTCATCAAATATACATAAATTATTTGCTATAAATAATCTAATGAACCAAATGAGAAATTATTTTATTTTAAACATAGAAATAAATACAGCAATGATAAATTATATTCAAATTCGAAATTTTATAAATAATTATTTGGATATCATGTTACTGAATCAATTATAAGACTCAGCCGTCGGAAATTATCAGCATTTTCCGTCGGACGAGGAGAAAATTCATAATACTGTGAACGTTCATTTTTTTTTATTGTTTAATATAAGATTTCGTACTGTGTGCAGAAAAAACAAAGATACACACGATTTATATAGTTTATGGATGCCGATATTTTCTAAGTGGTTTGAGAAATCCTTTTCTGATCCCGTCAAAGCATGCATTATGATTCTGTACAGCGCGTGTTGGTGTATTGAATAAATTAACATTCTCTTAGTCGTTTGCCAGTGCGGCGCAAATATTCTTAACCTTGCCCCCACCCATTTACATTCCTGTATATATAATGTTTAAATACTTTGTAGTTTAACCCGATATTAAGTGCAAATATTTTTATGTTTACCAAATGTTTCAGAACGACCAAGCGTTGACGACCATGCCGGGCTACGTGGCTCTGAGTTTGGTATTCATTTTGTTCGGACTCGCAGTTGTCGCCGCTAGTATCAACTTGTTAGTGCTACGTTTCATGACAATGTGAGTATCTACTTATGTTATACATACTATTGTACGACTTTGAATTCATAATAATTTATTAGGGGGTGGTACACGTGATATACATTTTGCACAACATTTATGTAATACAACGATTGATATTCTTACATAACACACAGTGTCATAATATAGAAGCGATCCTTTGTGATCCGGTGTTTTGAAATTACATTTTCAGGGTAAAAGAAAGTACCGTATAATATTATGAAATAATTAAATAAAAATTCAACCGTTTTGTTCCGATTTAGGAGTGCTGTATTAAATGACTTTTTTCATAATAACTCAAAATTTTTTTATCTTATAATAATAAAATTTACTTACATCTAAATTATAATAAAAATCAAAGTTTATTACAATTTTTTAAAACATGAAATAAGTCAAAGAATCTTGTATAAATTAATAGTGGGAAAGTGAATAAAATTAAGAATCTTAAACTAGTTTATCAGTGAATTTTAATATTCTATTAATTTTATTAAATCAACCTAATTCTCATTTTAGAAAAAATCACGTTTTATAATGAACATGGTTTGTAAAATTTATTTGACGATTCTATATAGATCACTGAAAGCAAACTAATTATTTCTATTTTGTTTACTGATATTTTTATAAATACCGCGAAAATAGCGGTATTTAAATCGACATTTTATGTATACTACAAAATAAATTATGGTCGATCGATCCTATGTAACAAATATAAGTCGATATAATATTTGTTTTGGACAAATTTTACAAAAGCGCAATTACATTTCTGCAACCCTGCACAGGTTTCATTTATCAAACTTTCAATTTTTTTATTTCCTATATTATAAATAAGCAAAAAAAAAAAACATTGAATATTTAATTGTTCACTTTATTGTTTGTTCGTATCATAATTATTAAAACCTATTTCACTTAATACAGTAGTCATATATAATAAGTACTACAGAGCACATGAAAAAAATGTTATAGCATATTACTATTTTAAATATTTAAAGTACCAGCAAACAAATTCTTATGCTTCGATCGTTATTTTTATAATATTTAATTATGTTTGAAAGGGGGGTGGTGGCGTTTTCTTATCTCAGAGCGGTTGTCCCGCTCGGGAAACGAAACGAAAACGACGGGGTTGGGGCTAATAACTTTGCGTTTGAGACACATGGCACCTTATACCACTTGGCCACAATAAAGCTACTTGGACAATAAAAAAACTTTCAAAATAATTACTATAGAATTATATTTAGAATTATTATTCTAAAAATCTAATAATTATTAGTCTCGTTTTTTCAAGGCACGGTGTGCAGGGGGAATAGGTTATTGAGTAGGAATTATCGTTGCGCTATGAGACGTGTCTCGTCGTTCGTATTTATTGTTTCATTTTAATATACATTAATGTAATCGTCATTGGAAACCACAAAATGCGGCATGATGTGTGTGCATATGTTACAGTTAAAGTATTAAATTCCGTTAATTTATGAAATAATTAGATAGTTCATAAATTACCTACTAATTTTAGTTAAAGTATGAAATCATACATGAAAATTATACTTTCACTAGTTATTTCATAGAATATCTAGTTATTCAATAGATGCAATTTTAATTTGATACATGTTAAAGTATAAAATACGTTAAAACTTACAATAGATAATAACATTTTATTTATTTCAAACTTAATTAATTATATATTTATATATGCAATGCTATTGTAGAGACAGACGAACCAACATTGAACGCGTGTGACTGTAAGACTATTACTAAACTTTTAACCTTACCAATGTTATTGACAATCTTAATAATTACTATGTTTATATGATAGCGTTAAAACAGTTTGAAAAAATAACTTAATAATAATTTAATAAGAACACAATAAATGCAAAATTATAAATTTATTATGAAAATATATTATGAATCAATATATCACTTAACAGATATCCTCCTGGAACAAACGATCAAAGTCATGAAGTAAAAATATTAATTTTAAAACGGTTCATAAAATATTAGCTAAACCGATTTAGTATATATTTGTAAATAAACATCTGAAAACGGTTTAAGCTAAACCGTTTTAAATAATTTTAAAACGGTTAAATTTCAAACCTTTTTAATGCTATCATATAAACGTAGTAAATCATACATTTACAATGATAATTTTATCTAACACGATAAATTTACATGAATACTGTAGTCACTGCAAGAACGGCAGTTTTATCTAATTTGTTGCTATGATGGACAGTAAAATAACGATATTGTACATGCATGAATATATCAATTTAACACATTAACGAAGCGATGCCAGGGAATATATAAAATAACTAGTTAATGTATAAATTATATACATTACTTACACGTTTTAGTTATTTTATAAATGATCTAGTTATTTCATAAACTAACTAATTTAATACTTAGTTTATGAAATAACTAGATCATTTATAAAATATACGGTCTTTGCATATGCATTTCCGGAGTTCGGCAAACGAATGGTGATAAAAAAAAAAAAGCAAACGCGATCGAAATATTATATGTCATTGCTATTTTTGTGCGTTGAATTCATTGAAATACGTTTGATGTTGTATATTGCTTTACGAGCAGTGAATTTCTTATTATATTTTCGCGTTTCTATGCGTTCTTTTGATTTCAAACATCGGATCATAGGGCGGCGCATCATCCCGGGTCCCTAAATTGAAAGGACTAATATTAAGTCGATCTTAGCCCGCAGGTGGTATCAACTGGACTGCAATACAATAATACATAGCATCCCTTTGAATACTGAACCTTTGATATCACACCCATGGGCATGTAAACACACGGTATATATGAATATATTTTCGAATCTTTAACAATACACGAGGACTCCGCATTGCATTTCCTAAATCGTAAACTACCTTCACGCACTGTTTTCATACCGAAAAGTGTTTACCATGAAACCATTGTGCGTGACTAACTATACAACTGCGGCAAAGAAGACCGATCCTTCCAATTTTTCCGTAGGATGTATGGTAAACTATCCCAGGACGCTTTTTAATCCAAAGCATGTTCATCGTATCATGGGAATTGTCTTGGGACGAAATATTATAAAAACCCGTATTATTTCGTCTAATATCGATTTAAAATCTTACATAGTATTGAAAATCGCAGTACGAAATATTTTTGGGTCGCATTTACTCGATTGGATCCAATATTCTCTTGTGCATTGAACTAAATAGTATCAAAAATATTTAAATATAATTTTACCGTCACAATATGTATCTATATCACTCGATAAATTATAGTAATTTTATTCGATATTTTATTGGATAAATTATGGAAATAAATATATGAATATAAAGTAGGTAATAGTTACAGTTAGTTTACATTTTATTTTTTTCTGATAAGCTGCTATTTAACTAATAAGTTAAACGCATAAAAATATGATACCGGATTAATAATTATACACAGTTAATATAATTTAAATATAATTAATTCAATATACAGATCAAAATAATACATTTGACCTTAAAGTATTTAAGGTTATTGTTGAATTTCGAAAAAACATAATACAAATAAGATTTCTTATTTAAAGTATATTTTTTTTAATATTGTCGAGATTTGCGAAAAGAGGAAAATCATGAAATAGTAAATTCTAAAAGAAACGGGAAGAATATCAATATAATTGTAGTATAAATGATTAAATATTATTAGTTTATTTTAGTACTGGACATGTGAAAATTTACAAATTGATTTCAATAACTTAAAATTAATGAAAATATTGATTCTTAATGGTTTTTTCAGTCTGTAATATGTAAATTTAAGTTTTCAACAAAAGACGTTTCTTTATAATTATCTATACACACTATATATATGTATACATTTGGTTTAAATAAATATTTATATAATTGATTTGTAAATACAAAAATAATTTGTCTCAATGGTGGAATTTCACGTCAATTATTTGTTGTGTATAACATAGTATAAACACTATTTTAATGCAAATTACAGTCACAATATAAATCACCCATAAACATCTAGAATTATTATTATACCAACAACTTTTTCCGAGCCATTACCTTAAATTATTTTTTTACATATAATAATTTTAAAACTAAAGGGAAATTTTTAATTTTTTAAGTTTGAACTGTTAAAGCTTAAAAAAAGAACCAAAAGTCGATTACAGTAAAGTAATCTTAAGACATTTAGTTATAAGATTAAAAATTATATATATAAACATTGAGTTTTTATATTATAATAACGAACAGTGGAAAAAAAAACAAATAAATAAAAAATGTAATTATATCAATTTAATTCTGAGATGAAAGAGACAAGTTTAAAATTTTCTCATTTAGCGCGTCCTTTTTGAAAAAGTTAGACTATTTTCACAAAAAATAAAAAATATGTCATTTGAAAATTGAAGAAAAAAAAAATATCCAACTAGCTGTCAAATATTATATTAATAATTCATAACTAAAATCATATTATATTGGTCTATAATCTTATGAATAACATGAAATATAATGTTATGGGTTATAAAGCAACCTATCTATAACGAAATAATTGAGATAGTGTGGTAAAATATATTACCTTTTAATGTATAAATTATTTTAGCTCTTTGATGTGACTCTAAAGTTTCATTTGACAAATATCCACTTGAGTTATTAAAACAAATCAGTAACATGGATTGACAGTAGGCGTGATATACCTTTTCACCAAATTATTGCAATTCATTAACATTATTGATGTAAAATATCTGTTCATCTCGTTTTAAATACAAAATAATATATTTGATTCTTTGAGGTTTATATTACTTATTACAGTTGACTGTCGATTGTCGACCACCATAGTTGCTGAGGTTTCCGCTAAAGTAAAAATAATATAGGTAAAAGACCCTTTTATCTTCTAAAAAAAAAAAAAACATTACATCTGCACCTTATTGGATGCATTGAATCCGAATAATTTACATAGTTAGGACCATTCCAAATCCTTTCAACCGAAATTGGTACATTTATTACTTCCGATCGCTAACCAAAAAAATAAAATAG